TCAGAAAGAGAACTAGAAGCAAAGGTTTGATTGCCTCAAACATATGTACATCTAGATTAAAATGAAGGCATCATTAGATTAAGTACTTGGTATTTGGTCATTCTTTCTAAAACTTGTTCATCAAGCAACATTTATGTTATTCACAGGGTACGTACCAAATTAAGCAAGACAGTTGAACATGTGGGGTAAGGTACAACATTAGGGTGGTGAAATTTGAGGAAATCGATGTTTTCATTGTTTCAGAAAGATCTGATCTAGTGTAACAATAGAGAGGTTAAGCTACACATTCAAATGCAAACCGTGAACCTGAACGCGTAAGTTCATGTTCAAGTACATGTTTAAGGAAATTTTCTGTTAAGCTACATGTTGGTTGATGTGGAGCTATATTTATGTGGTGGCTGTCACTGAGGGTAATGGCTCTATGGGTTATGGTTTAATCATATCAAGGGCGGACATAATAAAAAGAAAATGCCTCGTTCACAAATTTAATGTAGTAATAAGGCAATAGTAGGCTCTGGTTGTCATTTCATTTCTTTTAGTAAACATACTGTACTAAGCCGCAGATATTAAACTAGCCCTGCCTATTTATATTATACGAAATGAAACAAAACCATCACAAATTGAAGTTGTAATTTATCCATTAAAATGTACTCTTATTTCCTGTTAAGGATTGAGGTTTACCAATATAACAAGCAAGATTATCTATCAAATATGGGCTCCTGGGCCATGCTAGAACATGGCTAAAATCAATCACGTAATGAGCGACGTGTAATAGCTCATCTACACTTAAAAACCTGTAACTTTCACGCTTACCTGTAGAAAGTAGACTAATCTGACATCATATTTCTGTGCGCGTATTGAAGTTTACGTTCTTGCTTTGTTGAATATGTGTCTGTAAATTGCAACAATATGATAATCTACAAGTAAAAACCTGTAAACTTCACGCAGACAAACAGAAAATAAGCAAATCTGACATAATTTTTCTGCGCCCGCATTGAAGTTCACGTTCATGTTTTGTTACAAACATGTAACTTAACCTCTCAATAATACCAGACAGCGAACTGGACATTGAATTCATAGTTAAACCTACACAAACACAGAATGTAGTATACGGTATAACGCACAGGTAAAATCTGAGATCCAGTATAACTCAAATTCCTTGTGTTGCACCTTAGTGCATGTAGTGTTACTGCGTGCTAAGCATTCAGAGTTTGTATGTGTTTAACCATGAAATCCACTGTCAAGTTCACTGTCTAGGATATATTGTTACAGAGATTTACATATAAAAATATATAGAAACCAGACCAAATCTTTCTGAAATGATGGAAATATCTGTTTGTTAAAATTTCATCACCCTCGTGTTGTACCTTATTCCGCACGTTCAAGTGTCACGCTTAATTTGGTACAGCCTCTGTGTTATTGCAATAATATACAAGCTGCAATTTCTTTAAACTTCAAAAGAAATTAGATTTCATAACAAACAAATCAATGTATTGCAATCAATATAAACTACAGAAGAAGACAATCACTATAACATTAGAGCTAAGAGTGTTTCAAGGATGAGGGAATTGACAAATCACTTAAAGAATTAAGCACATTTCTGCATTTCAAGGGATCACTTGACAAGATTATACCTAGTTTGGGGGAGTATTATTAAATCTTGGAGGCAGCTTAGAAGAAATGGCTTACCTCCAACCAAATATTTTCTTAGAAGTCCTAAATCATATTCCAAAACAACATTCTAAATCTCTATATTCTATAGCTCATTAATTAACAATAATCTTTGAGGATTAATTATACATGACCATCATGATGTATGCTTCCTTGGCAGCGCCTTTATTGCATGGAGGAACCAATTTTCATACAGAATGGCATTTATTATCTTGGTGCAGATTTTACGATCTATTCTTATTTGATTTCTTCACTCACTATATATAGTATTTATGATTTGCAGTTCGAATTGTTGATGATATTATTATTATGGAAACATCTGTTTGTTTTCCAAGTTTTCTAATGATCCTGTTGAGTCTCAGGCTCTCTCCCATGTTAAACTTACCAGACTGTCACGTTTAAAATGCAAAACTGAGCACAAAAGAACTTAAGATTCTTTATTCAATTTTAAAGAGAATAAAATAGCATGATCAGATATATCTTAAATATGCATGCCAATACTTGATTTATTAGATGTGAACATTCCAGGTGATTGTCCATTCTCCATGAAACATCAATAACATAACAGCAAGGTTAGCAAAGACATGACAATGGTATAATTGATATTAACTGCTATAGCTACATATGGACAATCTATGGACAATATTTATTTCATTAACATACTTGAATATCTACTCTCTAAAATAATTGAAAGCTGGGACTTTTTCACACCCATTTGCATGCACATTTACCATTATCTTCTTTGTAACAGGGGTACATTAAGCCTGAATTGGTCAATGATAAAGACATACCTAACGAAGAGACTAAGGTTTAACTAATTAACACTGATAAACATATCGAAATCAATGAAGTATTAATAAGTGCAAATTAAATTTGAAATCAATGAATGCCAAGGTGAGAGAGCCCATATGTTGCATAACATCAAACACAGATGAATAAACCCATATGCTGCAAAATATCAATGCAAATAGGCCATATTCTTGCATCAAGTTTATGGTCACTCTCCCCATTTTCCTGTCCACAATGGGTTTATAAGAGAATGGGAGTATACACAAGGGCTTTAAGCAAGACACAATAAAGCACCTAATGCCTGAAAATGGTTCGAAAACAATATAAGAACTTGATTGAAGACCATACCTTTGATCAATTATATTACATTACTATAAAAAGCATGAATTTCCTCTCTCCCTGCTTGATTTATAAAGGCTCTGCCTATTTTCCCAGATATGGACAAAAACAAACATATATCATACAGCTCAAACATGGAACTGGCTAATGTGAAGGAAATCTATTGCAGGGAAAATCATTATCTGCATTTCCGTAGGCTTATTTGTGAGGCTAATAGGTCGTGAAACTTGTGACAGTCAACAGTCCAAGACAATTATATATTGCAGTGATTCCAACTCTTTAAAACTGAAACTGAATCAAAATAGCATATAACATGTTATGTCATATACTTGATCAATTCAAACTGATTGTCAAGAAATCAGCATATATATTAATATATTTTATTGACTCAACAATCCAACATACCATATAAATGACATATCAGTCACTATATCCAGGACAAGAGAAACAAGAGAAAAAATATGCTAAGCTTATATATATAATAACTGTCTTAATGACTTTATATAGTGTAATTATGTAACTCGAATGTAATTTATGGTTCAAAAATACTGTATAATAATATTACAGTTTACATCTATAGGTATACAGGATCTAAATGTAAATTGACACATCTTTAATTAATAATAAAATGTGATCAAGGAACAACTTATAAGGGTTATTCTTCAAGAGGAATGTTTTGAGAGGCTTTACTACAATGGATATGGATACCCATCTGAATATATTGAATATGTAATGTTATTGATAAGCCTTCTTATAGGAAATCCCAGATGAGGATACATATCTCACAGATGGCGTAGATAATTTTGATATGATAGAGCTCAAAATTGTTGAACATGAAAATTGAAGCAAACCCTCATTGTAAGTAAATAAATGATGTTAAATAGCATCTACAAATACTTTCATTATTAATAAATGGCCTTCCTTTTGATGAAAATGAAGTAAGTATTACAATTGGAATATAAATGTTAAGCAATGAAATCTGAGCCTTAAACATGGTTTTTAATGGGGGGAATGATTATATTGAAAGCTTTAATAACAAAGCAATCAATGTTGTCATAAGAAAATCAAACTTTATTCTCGGTGGGTTATTTGAAACCCTTATTAACTATATAATAGTCTTTAAGGTAGATGGAAATATATAATTTGCCTTGCCTTAAATCTTAAGGTTGTTGTGGATCATTTCCTGTTCCCTGTTTCCTAATATGGTATTGAAGGTTCCCTTTTGCCAAATATGGTATTGAGGATTCCACGTTGCCTAATCTGGTATTGAGGATACCCTGTTGACTAATATGATATTGAGGATTCCCTTTTGCCTAATATGGTATTGAGGATTTCCTGGTGCCTTATATGGTATTGAGGATTCCCTGTTGCCCAATATTGTACTATAGATTCCCTTCTGCCTAATATGGTATTGTGGATTCCCTGTTGCCTTATATGGTATTGAGGATCAGTAGATGAATTATTTTTCAGTTTGCTATGTGTTACTTGAATTTGCTTTTGATGTTTTGTTTTAAATTGCCTAAATTGAACACATATTTGTGATTACTTCACACATTATAATAATGCCATTCTGCCATGAGATAAGATAAACTCCATCAACTCCCTAGAGTAGCAAATTCAACTGAACAAAACAATTTTTATCAAATCACTTGAATTCAGCATCTTTAAAATTCGAAGTAATCAAACATTAATTTTTACCAAAATATGGCAGCCATTTTGAATAGTGGCAACATTAAAAATTCCTTTAGAGGCTGAGGTCATATGCCCATAAGGCATCAGAATATGAGAATTGAACCAAATCTGTCTACCGGTATTTGGCCCAGACAGATGCATGGAGAAAGGTAACAGAAATCAAAGTCACCTTTATGACAGGTTAATGAAAACACAAAATGAAATCCTGAGTTTAAGGCGGATATGAAAAAGTCAGTCCACCCTAGTAAGGATCAAACCCAAGATGAGTGCTCTTTATGGTCACCTTTATAACATATCTTTTTTACAATCTATTTGTGATAGCTGCCTTGAAAAAACCTTTGGAAATAAAAATTTCAAATAATCATGACTATGGAAGCCAGTCAGAGAAAAGGTCTGTAGTTCCACAGTTTCTCTCACAGTTTATACCTAGCAATATAAAGTAATTGAACATAGTCAAATAGATTATAAATTATATGAAAATGTCTACAATTTTCACTATATGAACTTACATTATTATCATCATCAGGTACATCTAAACTTTTAAGGATGGTACATTCCCTGCATGTTCCCTCCTCACAACCTTCATGTTTATGACTGCTAGATCGCTGCCTCCAAATATGGGCAGCTCTTGAGGCACTATGTGTAGTGTGTTGAGATGTGGCACTTTCAGTTTCACTGCGATCACTTTCAAAACTCTGAGTGTTACAGGATACACTTTGTGAGCTCTCATTGCTAAGTTGACGAACACGTGTTTGGGCAACCTTAAGTCGCCAACGTGCTGCTGACCTTGAAGTTGATTCAAATGAATCACTGAATGATCGCTCACTTCCACTTACACTTGTGGTGTCACTATCAAATGATGATTTCTTGGCTTTTCTACGCCAATCATATGCTGCACGTCTGGCAGTAGTTTTGTCTTTTTCCTTGTCGCTGCTGGCACCACAAAGTTTCCATTCAACTAATATAGCACCAGCAGTATCAGCATCCGACTTGCAATCACTAGAACAAGATTTCCCAGTCTCACTGATAGATGGATTCCTACTCTGTAATATCTGAACAGTTTTGGTTAAAATAGCGATATCATCATCTTCACTCGGTGATTTCTCTTTGGTGTTCTCAACTTTGAGGTTTGTTTTAGGTTTGGATGATGTGTCCTTCTTAGGAGTTTTGGATGTTTTAAGGGATGGAGGTTTGGATTGTTTTAATTCCTGTTGGGCAAATCGAGTCCAGTTCCAGTCATGACTTCCACGTCTGCTGGTATCATGTGGAGTATTAGGACATATCTCTAAACCCCTGTCATCACCATCACAATCATCATTATCATAATCTCTATATTTGTGCAAACATCTTTCATTTTCAGATCCACTGAGCTCAGTTAGATCATCCGTTGTGATATCATAATAGGCTTTAGTTAGGCGTCGTCCTGTACGGCGTTTTTGACGTGATGCAAAACCAGGTATTAGCCATGGCATTACAGGACATAACAGAGCACTAGAGTTGGTGCCCATTCTACTACCATATAAATGGACTTAGGGATCTGAACTAATCCATGCAAATCAAATTAAATCAATTGCAATGATCTGCTGATCCATTTAAGTAATGAGAAATCACCATTGTTCTGATTGCTTTCAACTGCTCACTGATATTCACCATACAAAAATATATTACATCCTCTTAGCAAATAGCACTCTCAGTTATCATACAGAAATTCAGAATTGGGAAGATCCAAGCAGTGAAATATACTGAACATCTTATCTATTGAGAAAAGTAAAAGTTCTTCAATCCATAGAAGAGAACCATTTTTATCATCTGTCACATTTTCTGTTTCCTTTTGTATTTAGAATTCCATTATTTGAAAATATAACTAGAAAATATAACTAGCCTGAGACATTTATTCCTTCTGGAATTTCCATGCTTTAATTGAAGCTTGAGTCTTTAAACGACAGTCTCAGTATCAACATTGTCTATGTATTGCATCAATCCAGCTGCAATAATTCTAAAACAATTTCTCTAGGCATATAGCCAATGTATCTATACCAGAAACATAGTTACTTGCTTGCCAGAATGTATTCGATATTTACATATTTATCAAAGTTATTAAATCCGCAAGGCTGCCATCAATAATAATGATCATACACATACATTATGCAAGTACCCTCCAAAGTTTTCCAAGTGTTCCAAGGAAATTCTAGCTGATTTAGTTTGTAAAATCCATGATGAAGTAATTGAATGGAATTCCATTTAAGCCCTGAGTTGTCTCAGTTTGTCTCTTGGCTTTAACATATTAAGCAGAGGTATAATAACTAATTAAATGACAGCAGATGATTGTTCTCTCCAATATAATCATCTTTATGACATATTTGTTTAATCAGATGTTGCTGCAACTACTACTAGTACTAATTCCTTGACAAAAACATGCCAGTAAATTAATATGTTTCATTAATTGTAGAACCAATTCATATTATTTAGCTGTATGCTGTCATAACCAAGTATTGATATCACTTGGACAAGCAAAATATATTCACTATATCAACTGTTGTAATATGTTCTATCCACACAATATGCATTTTTCCCATGCATAACATCATTTGGCTAATGTTCCTTCGTGTATACTATCACACCAATGCCTTAACTCAATTGCATCAAGTTTTTCTAGATGTATTACATTATGTGTATACATGGTTCAATCTGTCTCTTTTAATTACACCAGGATTGATTTTGTGCATAGATATCTTGTAGTGTTCTAGCATATGCAACCACCAATAGTTCAATAGTTTCAAACAACATTTTAGTGAACTCATAGTAGCCTTTTCTCAAGCAAACAAACCTTATTTGATTACTAAAATAATCATCTCCTGTCTGATTAAAGCCCTGTAACTGATAATTATATAGCTGTGTCGTGTCTATTATCATGGAGAAACATTTCTTGAATGGTAAGTAAAGCTTTCGCAAAGTGCTGCCTCCAGTGCCAATTTGGGAGAATTCATAATTTCATTCTTGACAGGTTTGTCACTTCCTAGGATCCAATCAATCAAGCTGGACTTGGGCTAAAATATTCATGATGCATATAAATACAGGATATTATATGCATGTTGGAGTTAACAGCCCTCGTTCATGTAATATCTGCTTGAATGGTAGACTCACCTCAAGAGCTCTCTATCCTGTTGAAAGCTTGCTATGGGACTATTGCACCCCAAAAGCTTATGCCTAACTAAATAAACATTCTAGTCATCTATAAGTATAATAAAAAAAAAGCTTATGCCTAACTAAATAAACATTCTAGTCATCTATAAGTATAAAAAAATATGTTGTATATGATCAGCCAGGCGTGAATCATGAGTAATAGACTATGATTAATTCTCTCCCTAAGTACACAGAGTTGTATGGTTTTACACAACATGATTATAACATTACATATAAAGAGTCATGTGGGAATAGCTCTGTCAGACATCCGCACACAAAGGATTGCTATAATACACAGAACAAAGCTATATATGAATACATCCTGGTGAACATAGATGTCATCTGACATCTCATGACCTCCATTATGAAAATATAGTCCCCAGACCAACTGACACAAAAGGGAGAATTTAACAACAATAAATACAATATCAGCATATATTTCAATGTGTTAATGGCTACCTAGCTTCCATTGTTGCTCACCATTTAGTATAAAAGGGCCGATCCCGGAACGATACTCAAGGGTTCACAGGCTTGATTTGGGGATTCTAAGTGTGATTATTGACTATCGTTAAATATGTTTGTGCCAACCTGCAGCTAAATGATTTTTATAAGTGTTAGAACCTACAGCTTTGAGGGCAGTTATCGAAGCATTCATCAATACAGGAATATTCACTGCAGTAATGTTATGAAAATCTACATCAATAAATCCATCTTTCCCAATGTATTCAAACCATGTAGTATAAATTGACTGATAATAGAACTCCATTTAAGTGTGAATTGGTGTTGGATAAGTGTTATCAAGGGTGATCTCTAGATGAAGCATAACCACAGCACTGATAGCAATATCTATAAGAGTCAAAACAGATAATGGGACATACAAAGCTCATGAATTATTAACTCTTACCGTATTCTCTCCAATGAATGCACAGTGCGTTTACCAAATTCTCCTGAAGGAGATGTCTCAAATGACAAATTCCCCGGGGATTTCTTAAAAAAAAATTGGGCGATAATAGGGTGTTTCATGACTTTCCTCTTTAAAACTGGACTTAATCCAACTAGACAACATATTATCATATCTTGATGTTTTCCTCATGCATTTATCGATCTGCTGAATGTGTTTCCATGGTTGAATTGACATATATGCATCAATATTGATGATAAACATCCACTCCAACTGCTCTGAGCAGGCGCCATTTTGGAATTGACGCTGATACCCGAGTCAAAATACAAATGCTTCTTGTACCTGAATGGTCTTCATAATCGGTGAAAATATGTTTTATATCCATATAATACTGCTAAACGTTTATAAAGGATTGAATATTTGTTTGTGTGAAAAGGCACAAGAAATATTATAGATCGGAACTCCCATGATGCACTGTGGGCATTGCGAGTATTAGTAATGGCGACGGGTCAGAATTGACATTCATTATAGCTTTTAACTTTTCACTTTAACGTTATCATGAACATAGTTCATAACAGCATTATGCACACAAATCGCTCTATCGATGGCGGTAAGTGTATTCAATATTACCCTATTATCGCCCGCTCGAATAAATGATATTTTTCTAGATTTTTGTTTTACAAGTTGCAAGTCTTTCTTGGAAAAGTCAGGTGTGTCTTTATTGGAGTGTGTTCGTCTATTAGAGATAATACTGTAGCCTAAATAACATCATTTCTTGAACAATTATGCTTTCTCACTTTCCTCTTTGATATGTTTAAAAATATTTACGATTCATATTTGGTAATGCTAAAAAACATAAAACTAATATATCTAGCATAAATATAATGGTGCTAATTTAGAACAGAGGAATAAAAGTGGAATAATCAAAAACAATGTAATCAGTCATGCAGTCAATGCTACAAATTGTGAGTAACTACTACAACAACAGAGACCTTTTTTAAATTCTAGAGTCAAACAGGGGAGCATTAACATCAGCAGACAACATTTCAACACGACTACATCTGAACATTTCTACAAATGTTACATGTCAAACTAAAAAGTCATTTGTAATGATCTATAATCCTTTCCACTCCGACTAAATGAGGATAATTAAGAGAATATCAAACCCATTCATTAGAGCATTTCTACATTCAAGCATGCAATCCACAAACTGATCAGAGACCCTAGCAAAGGTAAAGGTATGATCGCAGCCTTTGATAGATCAATGGACAGGATTATTTAAATGATGGCTAACCACATACGGATGCATATAATAATAATGAATAAAAAGACAATCAACAATTCAAACAAAAGATGGTTCTATTCATGTTAGAATGACATTAGTGCAGATATATCAAATTTCAACCACAATTGATGTTTGAAACATACATGAAGAATAAATGTCACAATGACCAGGACATATTCGATTAGTAATACATGTATATACTTAGATCAATGTTACATTTATTATTCTATTTTTCTCTCATTTAGAGAATAAATGACAAGATCTCTTTCTTCATAAAAACTTAATGTATTTCAAAGATTCATTCAATTCTGACAGTAGATCTTGTTTTTGTGGTCTTTAATCAAAATAGTGCAAGGTCAAAGACAATATAGTAATTTGAAGAAAACTTCAAATCTCCATGGCAAAGGTAACATAATAAAAATTGGTTTTAAGATCACCATAGTAATAATTACTCGATCCTAGTCCATCCTTTTTGGGAAGCTCAACAATTTTAATACCAGGCTGGGAAGGGAGCTCTGTATTTTTGCATATGAGTTGAACTTCAGATGCCCCTGTATGGTGTTTCCCTATTGTAGAAAGCCTTATCCATGTTATCCCACAAGACTACCACACAAAAGAGATTTAACACAATATGCTGATGAATGATGTAAGTGAGGCTTTATCCAATAGAGCAGATACATATATAAGGAATACTTCAAAGATAACAATTTCCACAATTCCTGCCGATCTATGGTGGAATATTATAAAACAGAAACATCAAAAAGCACATACTGTAGTTAGTCAATATCGTAAACTTTCACTACAGCTTTTGTATCAATAGATTGATTTTTGATCCATTTTGTTGTTCAAACCTAATTTTTTAAGTTACCCTGGAGTTGGATTGTTTTATGTTTCCATGGCGCCAAGGCATTTTGACCGATGTAAGGTTCATTAACAGCGAAATGACTTAAACAATATAATCAAGATTTATAGTAGCTGGTGTTGCATAACCCAGAGCTTTGATTAGTTAGCTTGACAACTTGATTGATATAAAGAGGCTTTTTGACTCAATTTAATTGACCATAAAAATGTAAAGGATTTATTTGACATTCATAAGGTGTATTTTACCAGTCGTTTATGAGGCATATTTTCTCAGTATTTTACAATGTATAATATTGTTTATGGTATACTAGACTAGTTTTATCCCATATTGCCACATCTTATTAGTGAATCAAGATGTTTCAGAGAGAGAGAAGAAAAACTCCAAATTACATGTAGTCCAACAGGAAGCAATGAAATATATATGAACTATAAAAGCAACAATGTTGCATCTTTTAATGAGATGTGTATGCATATATGTAATTTTTACTTCTCAGCAATGCCTAAAAAATGGTTTTCATTTTATCAATCTTTCATGTCTATTTAATGTC